CCTAAACCCTAAACCCTAAAAACCCTAAAAACCCTAAAAACCCTAAAAACCCTAAACCCTAAACCCTAAACCCTAAACCCTAAACCCTAAACCCTAAACCCTAAACCCTAAACCCTAAACCCTAAACCCTAAACCCTAATCCCTAAACCCTCAACCCTCATCCCTGAACCCTCAACCCTCAACCCTAAACCCTCAACCCTCATCCCTCAACCCTAAACCCTCAACCCTCAACCCTCAACCCTCAACCCTAAACCCTAAACCCTCAACCCTAAAAACCCTAAACCCTAAACCCTAAACCCTAAAATCCCTAAACCCTAAACCCTAAACCCTAAAATCTTAAACCCTAAACTACTTTCCAACGACGAGTGAGCTAAGTCATTTCGTTCTTGTTTCGCTTTCGTTCAAGCGATGTATGGTCGAGCCTATGGCCTCGTTTTAAGAGAAGGTTTTAGAAAATTAGTGCAGAGAGAGATTTTCGAAAAAGAGATTTTTGAAAGAGACAGTATATAAGCAGGCAAGAGAGAAACAAGAACGGCTCACAGTATATAACCTTATGTAGGGGGATATGACTAGGTATGAAGGTATAAATCTCAATATTCATTAGTGAATCATTAGTTAAGCAACTAATCAAGTGTCAAGTGTTTTTTTAATCAAGTGTCAAGTGTCTGTTTAATCAAGTGTCAAGTGTTTCACACATCTAGGGTAGGATCCATACCCATGGTACTTTTATTCATAAGCGTCCTAACAGATCACGGTAGAAGTAGCTCTATTTGTCATTAGTTTATAGTATATGGTTGGAAGTGACGAAGCAGTAACAAGGAGGCCAATATCGCGGGGCAGAGGACGACTTATGCATCTCTGTAGTTTGTTCACCTTTGGAGATGCGAATTGAGATATTTGGAGATGGTACTAAAGCTAAACTCCATTGGAAGCGGCGATGGATTTGCTATGGCTTTGGGAATGGACGTGTGGACTCTTCATCTCCAGCTATGTTGGCGAGTGCAGCAGTTGGCCGTGATGCAGAGCAAGATATATTCCGTGTATTTTAAGGCAATGGCCTCTAGCATTCAGATGGCTTTATTCGGCAATTCTATTCACCCACACAAAATGCCCTTATTCCGCCCAAGGATATGTACTTGAGGCTGCATTTTTTATGAAGTCGCTCAATGTTTTGGTCGAACATGCAACCTAATTCTACTACCTTTCCTAAACAAGTCAGATTACGTGTATCGTGTCACCAATGTCATGTATTAGAAACACATCCTACTCGAACACCTGGATTTTTAGCCCTGCCTTTCTCCAATTGCTCTCCGAGCCTGCTAATTTGTCTGCTACAAAAGCTTTCTCGGATTCATCTTGAATTTCTCTTGTTTTTTTATCGCCAGATTTCTAAAACGACCAATTCTCGATTCGAGTCCTGGACATTGCGAATAACCGCACAGGCAACAACTCCGCATACGCATAGAATAGTAAGCTCGCTAAACTTGTTAGAAATTCATAAAATTTCAATGATTTAATGACATTATTTTACACTAACAACAGAAAAATCAAAACGAAACTATAAAAAGAAAAAAGAAAAAAGTGAATTGGTATCAGCCTAATAGTGGAATCAAATTGCTATTTTCAATGTCACAAAATCGAGCATCCCCACTTAAGTCGTCGGCACAATCCCCACATTCATAAACAGATCGAACAAGCAGTAGCTGATCATCCAAGTACCTCTGTAATAGGCCGATATCCTCCTCCCCATCATCGCCAACCTTCTCCGGGAGCGCTGATCTGCAGCCGCCTTCCTCACATCGCCGCAACCGTTCGCTTTCTGGGGAATCGCGAAGACATATCCTTATCCTGTGACGAGCAAGGCGGATACAGAGCTCTATGGCACAGATGATGGGGAAAGTAGCGCAGAAAATGGGAACGAGGAGGGGGGAACAAAGCAAGAGAATGAAAAAGCGGCTCCGACTGGAACGAAGCCAAAAAGAGGCGGCGGCAGCGGCGGTGGCTAACATGATGACGGGCTGATTTGCAAGTAAAACCGGAAGGTTGGGGATCGAAGACATCGGGCTTGGAAGATGGACTTCATGGTGTGAGGAGGGGGAGAAGACAATTGAGGGGATTGGGGCCTATGGCTGTCAGTCAGGGTTCTGGGTCTTCACGATGAAGATGCCTGTTCCTCTTCAGACCCAAACCTAAAGGCTCTCTGTTGTTATATAATTATAATTTAAGTAATTAATTATTTGAAATTATGCTTCGAATGTGAAGCAATATTTAATTATGCTAATTATCGCTTTGATATTTTAATTAAGAATTTCTTTTCCTTTGTTTCTGTTGGATTACTTTTATACGCATTGATGAAATAATGGCTAGTAACGTGGTGAAATAAATATAACAAGATGATATTCATTGGAGTATCAGACATCATCTTTGATAATGGTACCATTACTTTTAATTCATTTTATCTTAAAAAGTAAATTACAAGTAATCATATTGAAGTGTGATATGAAAGTAATTTTTTTAAAAAAAAATTAACAAACAATCCGTTTTACCAACTAAGATTCTTCTATTTCTTTTTTAGGCTTGCAGTTGTAATCCCTTTATTATTAGTTTTAGTTTTTAGCGTTTCCAATAATAATAGGTTTTATTAAATGTGAATATATTTTCAAATTAGTTTTTTTGAAATAAAGAACCAACGTAATTTTGATAAGTGTACAAGTTCAGACAAAATTGATCTCCTTCAAACATTGAGCCATGGGCCCTTCGCAACTCCACTAAAGGTTCTACTGTTCTGCTAGTGCTCACCCCAAAGGCCCCGCAACAGAGAACACATCTCAACTTACCCCAAAAATCTATCCTTCTCACGAACCACAAAGGGAGGAACAACTCCTTGATCCATCTCCCTTTAACATCTTTGTCTAAAACACTACTAACCTCAAGTCCCTTCAACCACAGAAGCCATATCTATTTCTCACAACCCCATCAACAATATTCGTTCTTCCAAGGATAACCTGCTACATGAAAACTTTAATTTTCTTTTTTGGAAATTTCACTTTTCAGAAACCAGAAAAAATAGACTCACGAGGGGGACAAGGATTCAACAACCCTCAAAAAATGAACGCTAAGAAAAGCCCTCAAACAGGCTAGAGTTCTAGCAACCAAAACCTCTGCTCCTAGGAGGGAACTCAAAACTCCTCCATTAATTAAAGAAACGACCACCGCCCCCTTATCCAACAACGTACGAGGAAATCTGCACGATCGTACAAGCTGTAGGGAGATGGAGAGAAACAATGGGAGCTAGGAGGAGCAGCGAATTTTTAAGCTTGATTTATATGGGCATAAGGAAATCCAGGTCAATAAATATGACCACCCTATACATATCTCGTATGCTTTGTAAGATTCATCATACCCAAGAAAGCTAAACTTAGTGATGTACACAGCTAAAGTTGTGAGTATGATATGGTCGGAGACATGACAAACAAAGACCATCCACTGTCCTGTCCCCCCTTGTTTCTCATGTTATACAAAATACGCAGTTACTAGTACACAACCTGGGGGAAGTCCATCCAAACCTTTATTATCATTTATTACGAACAAAGCTGTTTAGAGTTGTTGACTGTCTAAACAGATCGAATTATGAAATTCACAGAGACTGTTCATAGAGAGAGACAGACAAGCAAAACGGAATTAAGGAAATACAGTGACAAAATGAAACCTCAACACACCATCAACAAGATTTACAACTCCAAAAAAAGAAAAAAAAAAGTGAGAAACAAATGAGGTAAAATAAAACACATAAAATGACCAAATAACAAATGACGAATTCGAATTTATGCAAATAATATGCGATGGCATAACAAACAAGCACTAAGATACAGACTGAATGATTGCGCTAATATATTCAAAGATGCAAAGGTAAAATCAACGGAGGTAAGGCGCCTTACCTGTTTCTTTTTTCCCTTCTCGCAGGCACCGATATTGGGGCTAGAATGCTTCACTCTCTTAAAACCTTGACCTTGAACCTATACAGGAGCTTCTTCTTCTTAGAGGTTGGATTGTCAATAGTAAATAACAGTTTTCCCAGTTCAGAGACTTTGAAACTTTGAGAGATTACTGGTTCATCAGTTGCAGCCATTTTTCTTGCCTTTTGTATTATCACAGCGTATGCTTCTTCGGTATTAGGCACAAATTCAGCACTGTAGCTCACCTCCCATCCCACAACACGTAGCTCCCAAGCAATAATGCACTTCTGCAACGCAATGATTATCTCAATCACACACAGAATATTTTGGTACTTTACTGAATATTACACAAACGCATAGATAGAAAGTAAAGAAAGGCTTGCATACAAAGAGCATAAAGCATGAAATACAGAAACAAAACACGTCTCTCTATCACACCTCATAAATTATAATTTCAACAGTTTGCTTAGTTGAAGGTTTTATTGAGACTTCCGTTGCTTGATCAGAAGCATCGAAATCTGGGTTGCAATCACAATAGTCAACGCTCAAGCCACCATACTCGATTGGAACTTGTTCGGGAGAAATGTATCTGCATTGGTAGATCATCATACCCAACTCAGGAAAAACAATTAATACATAAAACAAACTCTTTCTTTACTGACCTGAAAAGGGTCTCGGCAGATTTCGTAGGCCCTACGAAGATAAACTTGCTTTTGGTCCTCTGGGTTAGAAACGGGCTGATCATCGTATAGAATGCAAGATACCACCAAGGAACGTTGATAAATACCTTATGAAGGTCCATTCAATACAATAATCAAATTTCAACCAAATCAAGTAAATATTATTCTACGAATTAAGAAATCAAGATCCTAATTCTCCTCAACTATATGTGATGAAGAAAATAGTTGAAGACATTGTATAAACCTGTTTGGCTACGAATTCAGGATAATTGTCTTGAAGCACCTGAAGAGCCTGTTTAGTGGCCAATCGAAGCTCTCGCTTGCCAGGACCAGGGGAGTTTTTGAGGTCATTAACCTGAAATAAAGTAGAAATACCTCCAGGATGAAAATCGAGTTTCCTAATACTCCTTTCTAAGAACTGAATCCTCCAACGTAAGAACTTGGTCCGTTTTTCCTGGTCGGAGAATGTTTTTGTATATAAATCCTTGTTCTGGAACTCTCCGAAGACATTGTAACACACTGGATGACCCTCCCTGCTGTATCCATGCATATACACCACCTTCTCCAGATCATCCCCCAGGTTCTCGTCGACAAGTGAATCGATGCCAAACTCCTCCCTCCACCTAATTGTGTTTTGAAACATAAGGAAAGCATCCCTCACTTTGAACTCCCTCGCCCTTAAAAACTTCAGGAGGATCACATCCGTCCGGTCATCTTCAAAAAGAGGAACCCCCCAAATTGACAGCTTCTTCTCAGTTTGAGCTGCCTCCAGGACTTCCTGTGCACGATTTTCCTTAACTACGGAATTTTCTTCGACAAGTTGCCGCAGTTCCTGAAGGGCTTTCCTCTCGGAATCTGCAAGATCAGCCACTTTGTTACTTTCCTCCTTGAAAGAAACCAAAGTCTGAGGAATCTTCTGCTCTTCAATTGTATTGGATTTAGTAGAAGATTCAACACCAAGGACGTCCTTTCCTGCATCGGAAGGTTTTGCCTCTACCTCAAAGTCACGTTCGGTAGATCGAGCTGGTGGCTGCAGTGGCTCTTCTTTCTCCACCACTGCTGTCGGAGGAGACAATGAAACCAGTTCCTTTTCAGCAGCTGCACACGATACAGGCTCGACAACAACGTCTGTTGGTGGAATCGACTCTTTTTCGGGTAGAGCAGGAGAATTAGCCACCGCCAGCACAGATTCTACAGGAGTGAGCGGGGGTGGGGGATCTTCTTCCTGGGTGCTAGATGGTTGGCGATCGGCGGGGGGTGCAACTGTCGGAATGTTGTCGGCCATCAAAACAAAGGCGTAGAAGTGAAACGAATCTTAGTTGGAAAGGGAAAGACGAAAGGGGGCGCTAAAAATTTGCAGTCTTCCTTTCGGTGGTCTTTGGTAATTTATTATGTGAACATAGGTGAAATTCGACGTCGCAACGCCACGTGAAAAAGAAAAAATGAAATGAAATAACAAAAGAAAAAGAAACTCCCTCAATTACATCTATTTCTTTGGGATTTAATACTATTTTACTCAACAAATATTAAAGATGATTTCAAGATAATGTGCACTTTGCGGGAACTATTTACTGGCAGCTCTTCGTGGATCCACTTGTAGTCGATCCTCCACCACAAGGAGGAAATCAACAAAAGGGTAGCACAACGAAATAGTATGAAGCAGGCACCAGTTGCACCTCCTCAAAACTCTCAATTTTTATAGTTAGAACAATGTATTCTACCTAACTAGAGAGTACTCCAAATATCACATATCACATGTGAATGGAATGGAGTTAACAAATATTCAATTAAATCAATAAGAACCTTCTTAGTTCACCCGTTACTTTCTTCTAACTTGTTCAAACTTTTTTTAAGGTGATCAAGTAATTTTCTTCTTTTAAATAGAAATCACGATAAAAAAAAATTTGAAGACAAGTAAGAAAAGTTGATGCCATTGATACAAATTAAGTTTGAAGATTTTCTAAACATCCGTACAGCACCCGATTAGTGTTTGGTTTAGGGGAGAGTATTATATTACAAGATAATAAGAAGAAAAATTAGAAGAAGAAGAAGAGTGGTGTAGAATAAACGGTGGAATATGGATAACATTGAGAATTATAAAGTTGAGAGACAGGAGGAGAATTGACAACAGTAAAGCCCAAAGAAAGGAAGATGGCGTGGTGTGGCAGCTCTGTCTCAAAGAGCAACAACAGCACCTCCCCGTTCCCATTCCCACCCCATGGATTCGCCATACTGCCACAAAATAAATGTAGAAGTAAACCATCCAACATCCCCTTCGCTGCAGCGCCAAAATTTTCGCTGCCCAAAAGGTGCCAAACGTGTGGAGGTAAAGGGGCTATCGATTGTCCCGGATGCAAGGTTACCCATCCCATCCTTCTCAATTCTCAATTCACTCCACATTTAACATCTTCTTCTCTTATAATACCTTCATGTGTTTGCTTTCAACTTAATTTCCTTCATGTGTTTGCTTTCAACTCAATATCAGGGGACTGGGAGAAACAAGAAAAACGGAAACATCTTCGAGCGTTGGAAGTCATTCACTCACTCACTCAATCTCTTACTTTTGTTCCAACTCAAACTAATTTAAATTCATCTATTCATATCCTTTCATTTTGCTTGTTTCAGATGTTTCGAGTGCCAAGGATTTGGATTAAAGAGCTGCCCTGACTGTGGAAAAGGAGGACTCACCCCCGAACAAAGGGGAGAAAGATAATGCACTCGCACCAGTTTATATTTATCTACTTCAACTTGTCTATTTTCTAATGTGATGCATTTGCATTGTATCATATATATATATATATATGGTTTCCAATTCTAAGACTTCACTACATTTTGTTCTAAAAAGTGATAAAAGTAAATTATGGTTCTTTGCAGGAAAAAAGTGGTTGTGATAGAAAAAGAAAGAAGAAAATAAATATAGCTAAACTAGAGGCTGTCATATTCAAACTCCATCATTCATTTGTTTTGAAAAAATTAGTCAGCTTGACCGATTCTCGTGGAGACTTATTTGGGACCTATTTCTTGGAAACATAAAATTAAGGTGGGCGGATATTCCCGACTCTCGATCGCATCTCTGCCATTTTTCCGGAGCAAACAAATTAATTAAACTAAAATCCTATCCTACGACGGTAGCTATGGATCCGTTTCGAGGACAAGGCGGCACTCAGATGCTATTAGTCGCGAACAAGATGCACAGCATGTCATATCCAGCGCTAGAAACAGTAAACCATTAATCCCTCCACTTCGATTTGTTTCTGTTCCCATTCACTTCGAGTACTATACACACACACACACATATATATAGTATTCGTGGATGACTGAATAATTTGTGTGTCGCTGGAAAGAAAAGTACCATTCGATATTCAATTTGATTTTGGAAGGAAATGGAAGCGATTGGAAGTGTGTTGTACTTGTATGGTAGTTCGTATCTAATCAATAGTATGGTTCCTTAAAGAGGAGAACATACACAATGCAGCCTATAGCAAAGAGAATGATAAGGATATCCAAGGTAAGAGCTGTGGTGGCCTGATCACTCAAGTCCATGTTCCTTCCAGCAAGGCGATCGACCATATCTGGAGTGGATTTCCAGTTTTGCAGCTCCTGCTCGTAAGGATCTTCCAACTTGATCCTCAGCTTATCAGCTTGGCGGCTTGCCTCTTCTTGAGCAAGCGTCCAGTCGTAGAACTTGCGGCTTTCTTCGTTGCTGAGGACCTCGTACACTTGTTTTAATTTCATAAATTTGTCGGACGCAGCTTTTAGAGGGAGAGAGGTGGTGTCGGGATGATATTCCTTTGACAATCTCCGATACGCACTTTTTATCTCTTCTAGGTCAGCCTCAGCACCAACTCCTAAGAACCTGCGCGCATATATACACAGAACAAACCATGATACCAACATAAATCAAATTCAAAACGAAATTAACAAAGCATATGCAGCCAGCTAGCCAAGCTTACATACTGGTAGTGAGAGTCGGATGAGTTATTGAGCAAATCGGTCAAACTTGGACCCAACGCATTATTATTATTATTATTATTCTGCTCCTTCTGGTCTCGCCGGGACTGGGAAGGCGTAGGGCCTCCAATCCAACCTTCTTCATCATTTTGCCAATGAATTCTTGTGTCGACGCCCGGTGGAGGCCTTTGGCGGTTGTTGGGAGGTTGGGATGCGTAGACCGGCCATGTACGGAATGTGCGAGCAGGCGAGTGGAAGGTTCTGTTCAAGAAGAGAGAATTGGGAATAGAAGGAGAGGCCATGGCCAAGGAACGGAATGAAACGGAAGCAAGGTTAAGAAAGACTAACAGAAAACCACTACCACTGGTTTTGTTTCTATGGATGAGATACTTACACCTGCTGCTGCCGTTGCCTTTGCCTTCGTCTTTTGTGGGACCCTCAAGAACCCGTTGTCCACACTGGCCATTGATAGCGAAAATTTTGTTTAATTCGCATAAAAAGAAGGCCCTACACTTTTAAAAATAATCATTTTGTCCTACAACTTCCCTTGTCTACATGAATCACGTTACTCTTTAAATATAATCATTTTGTTCCTAAGACTTATTTCATAAATTTAGTCCTTGTACTTAATTTCAAGTTATACAGTGCAAATATATGCTCAAATGATCAAACAAGGTAAGAATTAAATAGTCAATTTTTAAAGTTGAGGATGTCACTTATTTTAGTTTGAATTAGTTTATATGTTATTTGTATACATTATTTAGTATCTTGTATCCTAAGTTGTGAATATGAATGAAGATTGAACATTCGACCCCAATTCTTTTTTTGTGAATATGAATGAAGATTGAACATTCGATACCAATTCTTTTTCTTATTCTTAAATCTGTATTCTTTCGTTGAGTAATAATAATATTTTCATATCTATTCACACTTTTGAGTGGTAGATATTGCGTGAGAGGAACTAAAATAAATATGTAAAGTTGATGCCAAAATAAAACATCTAAAGAGAGATCTTTTGAAAGCTTAGGAATAAAAACGGAACAAATTTGAAATAGTAAGATGGAGAAGAAAAGCAGATATCCAATCCACCACCCCACCCCTCCTCTTCTGTGATTATTGACATTATGACTCTACTGCCATATCTAGAAGAACGTTCTATGCTTACCCATGTCCTAACAATCTTCCTTTCACAATATAGTAAAGAAACTTCAGAAGTTAGCTCTCGAAATCATGAGATAAGTCTGCCAATAGAATCATATCTGGCATAGCATGCAAGGGAGTTTTTAGTAAGAGCAACAGCTTCGAATATTTCAAACGAGTTAAATAGGAAGATGTTAGCTTTTACAGTCTCATCCTCTGCGCCTATATAAGAGGCCTTACCTTAAGTCGTTCTCTTTTTCTGTTTCATTCTTCCAGATTTTTAAATTCAAGGTACAAACATGATCCCGTTCTCCTTAATGGCATCAATAACAATACCAAGCTTACCTTCAATTCTTTCATCCTTCCTAGGCTCGTACGACATTGCATATACATCTGCTTCCTTTGATCTCTCTGCAATAAGCTTCCCTATTACTCTACATGCATTGTGATCTGTAAGTGACGGTAAACTGTTCCTAAGATCCTTTGCATTTGTTGTCGCCACTGATATTACTTTGCTTGTTCCTCTATGCATTACCTTCGCATGCATAAATTTCTTTGAAAAGAAAACATTTAGTAAAAATGGCCTCATATACATATCTGTCCGTTGTTTCCATGATTTCTTGTTTGGTCGCTTTGCAGCCTCCCCTCGTGACCTTCTTGTCCAAGCTGATTGTATGAATAAAACCTACAAGTGTAAACATACTGGTCGTTTATCAAAAGAAAACAAAATTTAGAAGTTACTCGACTCTCTTAAAACAGTAAAAGATTCTCTGAAGTGTCAGCAGGAGTGCTCACCAAATTCAGCTTCCCTAAAGAAATTGGATATTGGAAAAGTTACTTCTATTAATAGTTATAAGAATGATGTAAAGATGAATTGGAAGGTCAGCGTCGTTTTTACGGATTCTTGTAAGACTTTACTTACGACTCAAATCTTTTTGGATTAGAAAAAATAGGAGGTGGTGCAGACAGATTTTAGCAAAATAAGTTGCCTCGTTCCATAAGAGGCGTTACTCGCTCCAAAAGAAGTTGCCTCGTTGCCCGGAGAAGACTCTTGTAAGGCATTCAATCTTTATTACAGCCCTTTAATGAGACGAACGAAATTCCCTTGATAACGTTTCAGTTCAGCCAACGCCATTAATGAAGACGTCTCTTGAGGCCGGTTTTCCTACAGTTCCCCCTGTAGTTAATGCTTCCGTTCCAGTTCAAGAGGTCTCGCCTATTGCCAAGAATGTTTCGCATTCGAATCCTTCCAGTACAGAGATTCTCAGCCCTCATGGTACTAAATTGATTTAAGGAGATCAAAGGAATCTCCCCCTCTTCATTATTCTCGGAAAAAAGAAATGGTTGCTTCTTTTATAATTTTTCCAGAAGTTTCTTTAATCAATCCAGATGTTGAAGAAGGTTGTTTGCGACTCTTGGGCTCCTCTTCTCTTAAACTCTGTTTGGATACAAGTGAAGATCCAAAGACGTTCTCTTCCATACCTTGTAGTCAAACATTAACTGCTCTTGTGATTCAGGAACTGCTTTGATTAAAGGAGTTGTCATTCCTTCTTCCAATCATTACGAAAAGCAGGAACTCTTATCCTATGGTATAATAGATTCTGATTATTGATAGATGGAAGCGCTTTACTCTATCTAGGGAAGGCCTTATTATGTCTTTAGTTCTTATGGTCTTTGGTTAGAGTGGAGTTCAAAAGACTTCTTCAATTTTTCTTTGAGAAGGAAAGGAAGGAGGTAAAGTAACTCATTTGGTTCGACGGAGCATTGTTACAAAAGCTCAGAATGATGGTGGTCTTGAAATAGGAGCATTGAAAACAGGAATTTGGCTTTGATAGCATAATGAGGTTGGTGTTTTATAAATGAACCTTCTTCTTGTTGGCAACAGGTTATTGCTAGTATTCATGGGTCTGACATTAATGGTTGGCATTCAGGTAGAAGAAATGGTTTGAGTTTACACAGTCCCTTGGCTAAATATCTCTAAGAACTGGTCTCGACTAGAAAGCCATGCTCATTTCAAGTTGGGGAATCGAAGAAGGATTTTTTTTTTTTTTTTTTTGGTTTTTTGTGGAAAGATCTTTGGTTATCTAACCTTCTTTAAAGCCTTGCTATCCTCGGCTATTTGTTATTGCTTCTACTCCAAATGGTTTGGTTGCTCTACATTCTATTATCCATTTAGCTGCTAGTAAGCCTCATAATCACAGGCTACAGCGCAAGTGTTGGACCTGTACCCAAGCTTTCCAGATAGCAACAAACTTTCGAACCAATAATATGATATAGACCAAGGAAAATAACTGTCATGAAAGCCTTGAGGGGAAGCCCAAAAGGGAAGGCTCAAAGAGGACAATATCTGCTATGTTGGATTTCGGGAAAACACCGAGATGATATTGTCGACAGGAGGTTGTTGGAAGAAAGATAAAATGCGTAAAATAAGAGAGAGAGAAGGACTGAAAGTTTGACTGCTCTTCAAAATCCGGATATTAAATCTTGTAAACAGATTTCCTGTGCCACTTCCTAGAAAATTGACGTCTAAGAATTCGCTAATCCATTCGACGTGTTTGTCAAATGGTCAAAGGGAAATTAAATGTAAACGTGTGAATCTAAATAAGGAAAAAACAAAGGTTTTATCTAACAATTGTTTTATCTAACAATCTCCTCCTAAAACCTGTGTTATATCTGCCTTATTTCGTTTCGTTTGAACTCCGTTTTGAGCCCTATGGCTCAGTGTCCCTGGCGGCATGTCCTCCAGACTCCACGTCTTGTTCGGCCGCCTCTTCTTCGAGTTGGCGCACCGCCAGTCCAGGTGGTTCACCTCTCCCTAATAGGTTTTCCATCTTCTGGTACCTGGCCGAGAGGTTGACCGGTTGCTCGGTGTCCCTGGCGGCATGTCCTCCAGACTCCACGTCTTGTTCGGCCGCCTCTTCTTTGAGTTGGCGCGCCGCCAGTCCAGGTGGTTCACCTCTTTCTATCTCTAGCTTTAGGATGTAAAGGCAGTTTTTCGTGCACCGAACTTGCGTGAGCAACCGTCGTCGATCATCGCGGATCCTAAGTAGCCCGCGTTTGATGGAAATGTGGCAGCCGGCCTTATCGAGTTGACCCAGGCTCACAATATTAGCCTTGAGTCTCGGGATGAAGTAGACGCCGGTCAGCTTGTGATGATTGCCTCCCTTGTCGACGAATAGGATGGTGCCGTGCCCTTCGATCTCGACGACGGAGCCATCGCCGAATTTTACCGTCCCGCGAATCCCCGAGTCAAGCTCGGAGAACGCAGACTTGACCCCGGTCATATGGTTTGTTGCCCCCGTGTCGAGGACCCATCGCCGGTGCTCTTGCTGCTCGCCTCTTTCACCGATTTGAGCGAGCACTCGCTCCTCCTTTAGTCGAATTGGCTCCCCAGGTGCATTTGTTCGACGCTCACCGGAGCAGTTATGCCGTCGTCGATTACCTCTGTGGATTTGGGGAGTTCTTCCTCGGGTTCGACGCCACGTAGGACTGATGCAGTCACCATGAAAAGGGTCGGCTCATCCTCCTCGGATTGAGCCACATGGGACGACCTGCAGCATCTTCTTCACGATTTCTGTCTCGTTGATGCTGCCACCGAGTGTGGTGATGCTGTTGGCGAGCCCCGTGCTTCGCATTGAAAAATCATCGACGGATTCGCCGTCCTTAAAGCAGATCTCCGAGAGCTCCTTCCGCAGCTGCTCAATGTTGGATTCCCGCACTCGCTGTACACCGACCCGACGGGATTTAATTCCTTCCCAGGCCGATTGCGCGGTGCGCTTGGTGGAGAGAGATGCCAACATCTCTGGGGGCACAGATCGTAATATGGCGGCGAACGCCAGCCGATCCTCCCGGTACTCGATTGTTTCTCCTTCCTCTGGCTCGACAGCGTGCCATAACCCATGCGCCTGTAGGTTGACGCGCATCAACAAGGCCCACTCGTTGTAGTTGGACCTTGTCAACATCGGGTACTGAACGACGGCAGTCGTTGTCTCCGTGATCACTCGCTCAATGACACCTCGACGTCCTTAAAGGAGATCTCCGAGAGCTCCTTCCGCAGCTGCTCAATGTTGGATTCCCGCACTCGCTGTACACCGACCCGACGGGATTTAATTCCTTCCCAGGCCGATTGCGCGGTGCGCTTGGTGGAGAGAGATGCCAACATCTCTGGGGGCACAGATCGTAATATGGCGGCGAACGCCAGCCGATCCTCCCGGTACTCGATTGTTTCTCCTTCCTCTGGCTCGACAGCGTGCCATAACCCATGCGCCTGTAGGTTGACGCGCATCAACAAGGCCCACTCGTTGTAGTTGGACCTTGTCAACATCGGGTACTGAACGACGGCAGTCGTTGTCTCCGTGATCACTCGCTCAATGACACCTCGACGCCCGTCATCACGACGTCGGCCTCTTCGTGGTGGTGATGGAGATGCCGGCACTTGACGGCGGCATGGAGGAGTGAGCGAGTTTGCTCGGGATGGACCCCACGATGTGCTTATTTTCGCCCTTTGCATTTTCTTCTACTCGAACCTGAGACCTTGTGTGTTGTTAGGTCGACACTCTGACCACTTGAGCTATTCAACTTGAATGTTGATAGGTTGGCTCTTCTGTGATGGTATACTACCGATCGCTTCAACTTGGCTCTGATACCACTTGTTGGATTTCGATAATCGGCCCGGGAAAACACCGAGAGGATATTGTCGACAGGAGGTTGTTGGAAGAAAGATAAGAGAGAGAGAAGGACTGAAAGTTTGACTGCTCTTCAAAATCCGGATATTAAATCTTGTAAACAGATTTCCTATTTAAATACAACCTATCCTAAATGGGTGGAGAGTGGCCAACTGAATCTGTGTCATTTCCTATAAAATTGACGTCTAAGAATTCGCTAATCCATTCGACGTGTTTGTCAAATGGTCAAAGGGAAATTAAATGTAAACGTGTGAATCTAAATAAGGAAAAAACAAAGGTTTTATCTAACATGCTAGCGGTGGATTTGGGTAGTTACACGCATCCATAACAACATTGCCACCAAAGGGGGCTTTTCTATTCCAATTCTTCAAAAAGACAGATGTTGTACTTCGTTCAATGCAAAACTTCCTGAATGTTGCTCAAGTCAGTAAGTTGCTAATATAACCAAGATGTGTCCGTGGATTTCAACTTAGGGAACTTCTCCCAGGTTTAACAAGTGGTCATGGGTTCAAAACGGCTCAAGTGTATTTATTCTAAATCTGAAAGGTTGTCATCAATTTAAATACAAGGTAGAAAATGAAGAATTTGAAAGATACGGAACTGGAGAACTGCCCAGCAACAGCAATAAAGCCATTTGACCTGGAACGAAGCAGAAAATAGTTGAGAACTCTCTGTATACAATGTAATAGTCATTTCTATCTTTTCCAGCCATAATAACAGCACGACTATTCACCTAAAGATGACTGCCGGCAGTATTCTTTCAAATTCTCAAACCATATCCTGAAGAGCAAGTTTTATGAAAGTTACAATATAGTCGAGTTCGTATTGTCCATTGGCTTGAATACATAACTGGCAGCAATTCCACAACAGATAACTTCCTCACAAATAATTCTCCTTCCCCAACTTTTGCACTAGTGTTTCAGGTTTCAGGTTTCCGGTTTATTTTGATTCCATTCCTATACCAATCGATTTGTCTGAAACTAGATTTTCACATAACTTATCCCAATAGAAGTGAACAACAAGAGAGAAAGTAGCCAAAATTTTTAAGAATAATCAAAGCAACTTGTTTTGCCTTTGTAAATTTGTTAGTTCCAGAATTTTTTCACATAAAAACCAAGTACATGTGCAAGAAATTCGTGGTCCACAACAGATAAATCATAAACTTAAAAATGGAAATAAGATATCTTCCGGAATAAACAGGGAATTGAATAGGCTGCCAGTAAAGAAATTATACCTTGGCATGCGCGGGATTCGAGGAGACAAAAGGGGAGCCTCTAGATAGGCTAATGGACGGAAATGAAGATGCCCACGAGAGAGATGAGGATTTCTGTGAAGGAGTGGTGGGAGTTGATATGCACTGGGAGGAGAGAATTGAACGCACAAAAGCACTAGACGGCATTGAAGAAGATATTGCTGTGAACGCCATGGTTCAGATTCAGTTCATTCGTCCACCCACGACTTCTTTGGTGGAAGTGCTCAATTTACAACGCTCGCGGTAGTAAGTCCGAAGCTTCTTTCCGAAAGAAAAAAAGAAAAAAAGAACAAAAATCAAACAAATAGATGGGCAAGTGTTAAAGGCTTAAAAAGGGTTATTTTGATCCAATTAGTATTTTCTTGCTAAAAAAAAATAGTGCAAATCTTACCGCCTCAACCAACCTTACCTCTAGTTAAATATGAAAGTGCTATAATATAATATTATCTTTTTAAGTATTTCAAAATTATTTTAATAGAAAAATATAATTGTTATGTCCATTTCTTTTAGTACTTTGAAAAAATTTCTACTCAAATACTAGTTTTGAAAGATTTATAAAGGGGTGAGAGTAATATTTAATAGTTTTGAAAGATTTGTAAAGGGGGTGAGAGTAATAATTTTGAAAGATTAATTGTAGTTACTCTAACTTGAGAAGTACAGTTATTTGAGATAACAAGAATATTGAAGATCTTCATCATTGTTGAAATGAAAATACTTTTGTGAGCCAGCAGTAAAAGTTTGGTACTGCCCCAACTAATATTTTTACTGCGTACAGTCTGAAGAATTGCTAGTCTTCAAGAAAGGGATAGTCTGTGTAACCAACCACCGGATCGGATGCGTAAAAGGTTTCTCTTTTGTAGTTGTTGAGAGGAGCATCTATCTGGAATCTCCTTGGCAGGTCTGGATTTGCTAAAAACCAACGGCCATAAGCAATAAGATCTGCTCCATTTTCAGCAATGGCTCTATTTCCATCTTCCTTATCAAACCCTCCAGCAGCTATGAATGTACCCCGGAATGCCTTTCTCATTGGTAACAGGCTGTGTGGACATTCAACTTTCTCCAGAGCATATTTCATCCGTGGCTCCACCATGTGACAGTACAAAATTCCATATTTGTTCAAACTCTCCGCCATGTACACTCCCAGAGCTTTTGGATTTGAATCTCCCGCCTCCATGTAATCTGCAAAAGGCGATAGTCTTATCCCAACTCTGTCTCCACCTATCTCGTTTACCACAGCTTCAACTACTTCTAGACCAAATCTGCAACGGTTTCCCAGAGAGCCACCATATTGGTCCGTACGGTCGTTCACACTGTCTTTCATGAACTGATCGATAAGATAACCATGAGCTCCATGGATTTCAACTCCATCAAAACCTGTATAATCATTCAACCATAGGAAAAAACATATTGAATAATAAATTCATTTCATCCTGCATTGTTTCTAACCTAAACAAGCTACTGATTTTTGAGTCTTAATCAGTAATCATGGCAGGAGTTCCGTTAGTTTTCTGAAAATAGGACTGACCAGCTTCAATGGCATTCCTGGCTGCAACCCTAAAATCATTGACAATTTGAGGGATTTCATCTGTCCTTAGACGTCTTGGAGGAGTAAACTGTGCAACATCAATTCCATCAGCCCGAACTTGCGGGAGTAGTGGCCTGTCCGATGATGAGATTGGGGCTCGCCCATTTGGTTGAAAACCTACATGCATCAAAAAATATATAGCCACAGTGGAGGCGTATTTTTAAAATAAATGTTAGCTCAGAGATTTGTAACTTTAAAACTAAGGATTTCATTCCTATGATTCATTGCAGTCTCATAAATTCTCTACTACTAAATCATGTACAGTAACACCCTCCTCCAGATCTGACACTGCAAATTTGTTCTTTACATAGTTCAGAACGAAGTTAATTGCTTCAGCTGTATTTTTTTTTTTTTTTTCAAAACTTAAATGCTCGTAAAAGTGAGGATGGAAAGGTTTTATAATGGGTGCAGAATCATGAAAAAAAAATGGGAACTGATCAGAAACCTCATAGATACTGTATGCTTTATCCAGTGCAAAATTCAATCTACAGTTATCCACTTGATTGTGTTGTTCCAATTGATATGTTCTTATAATTTACCAACTTTTCTTCTTGTTATTCCTATTTGCGGTAAAGAAAACGCACCTGAATTTGAAACCCTCCCAACATGCCATATCTGGCAAAAGAATGTACCGCCTTTGCGATGGACAGCATCCACAATTGGTTTCCATGCTTCAACTTGCTCTTTCGTCCATATCCCAGGTGTATCAGGATATCTTACACGTTAGAATACAGAAACGGATTAGTTGGGAAGCAAGAGGTTTTTATGAGAATAAGGGGAAAGAAAAGGAAGAAGTTTATCAAAGGCTATTACCCTTGGGCAGTGTCAGAAACTCCAGTGGCCTCAGCTATTAAGAAACCTCCTTTCGTGGTTCTCTGAGAGTAATATAAGATGGCATGCTGCTGAGGAACATTGTTGTAAGATCTCTGCCTTGTCAATGGGGCCAACACAATTCTGAAGAACAATTATTGTGAGGAAGATATGAGGAAACAGGGTTATCCAATTCCAAGCAACACAAGCTGTTGTTATTGATTTTGCAGTTAGATGATACTTGTAAGACAACATGTACCTGTGAGAAAGATTAAACTTCCCCATCTTGTACGGAGTGAGGAGAGGAATGGAGGGAGCTTGCTCAGACGCCTCATTGTTGTTATCACCCATTTTGCTTTGACGTTGCTCCTTTCTCGGTGTGTTGCGCAAGCTTATTCAGATGGCAGATGGGGAGAGAGCAATCAGACCCGCAAAGGGTATTTATAAGTTTCACACAATATGAAACAAGACAGCTAAATTTGATCCCCGACGCAGGCTCGGAGCAGAGCAGTAAGCAAAGGAGTAAAGACGGCCGTGAATTATTGAAAAAAAAAAGGTAGGTTTGGATAACCGGTGACGTGTGGGAATGCGTGGATTGTGAAATTGCTGTGACTTGTGAGTGAACCAGATTCGGCCACCTCGAAATCGCCGTCCAGAGTTGATTTTCCTCGCATTAATACATTATAGAGTTTGATTTTCCTTACATTATTGGTTCGTTCATTCATTCGGGTGACATTAAAATATAAAATGAAAACAGACGTACGCATCTGTTCACAGACAACTGAAGTTGGCGGTGCGTAACTACTTTTGAAAAATTACGATGAACGAGGCCAAATAACTTAATTACACCCTCTTATTAAAAAAAATAAAGAAAAATATTTCCTCCCATTTAGGTATACAAGATTAATCACAGCGAAAGATTTGGCATATACATGTTTCATCCAGATGATATTTTACTGGAGGATTCGAAGTAAAATTGTTATTAAATAACATCTTAAATGTTTAAAAATAATGAAAACAAATCAGTGCACATATCTTATACGCACACGATTCACAACCGATGATTTAATTTTTTGGTAATTGTTCTTTCATGTTAATAAGTTGTTCTACGATTAAGATTTTAATAACTAAAAACAATGTTAGGCTAAATTTTTTCGATCGTTGGCAATATTATTTTGACATAAAATTCTAATATTTATTTGACATATCATATCCAATCATATAATTTGACATTGGATACTTTTTTGCTTTTAATATATTTTAATTTGCCATTATTGCAATTCACTTGGTCGTTCATAACTTACCATCATTTATTTGTAAAAGCTGTTTTAGCCACACCATATATTCCTCTTTCATCGTAATTAAGTGGAATATATTTCATCAGACAAAAGACACTCTTATTTACTCTTTGTTGTTAGTTTAGCTGATGACAGTTCCAACTCAATTAAATTTAAAATTCTATTTTTAAGATTGAAGGACATTGTATGTTGTTAGGTTAATTTATGCAGTCATTGTAACCCAAAAATTGATAAATAGTTGTTTTAAAACCATTTTGAAATTTATAGATAAAAAAGAAAGTTGGAAGAGAATTATAAAAATCAAAACCCATCCTTGAAACTGTTGGATTATTGGGCGAACCCGAATGCACGCACGAGGACAAGTTCTGAATCTCAGTTCTGGTTTTGAAGCCGTTATTCGACAAATTATTCCCGGCAAAAATACGAAGCCCTAGTCTGTTTCCCTCCTCCCTCCCTTACACTCCAACCTGCCCGGCATGTCTACACTCGAAATCGAAGCTAGAGAGTACGTTTTCTCTTATCTTGATCTCTTCGCTGTTTCTTAGTTCGATCCCTTTCTCCTTGGTTATCTATAAATTTTGATCATAGGAGTGGGATTAAAGAAAAATATTTATGATATGCTTCCCCTTTCAGTGTCATCAAGATCGTGCTCCAGTTTTGTAAAGAAAATTCACTGCACCAAACATTCCAGACGTTACAGAATGAGTGCCAGGTTTCTTTGAATACCGTAGACAGCATTGAAACTTTTGTTGCTGATATCAACTCTGGACGGTGGGATGCCATACTGCCTCAAGTGTCTCAACTTAAGCTTCCGAGAAATAAGCTGGAGGACTTATATGAACAGGTAGAGTTCAACAAACTGTACAGTTATTCAAATCTTGCATCAATATATATATATATATATATATATATATATATATATATATATATATATATATATATATATATATAT